TTTTTTATAAGTGATTTCAAGTAAAAAAAACTTCACCTTTTAAAATATTTAAATCTTTTCAGGGAATCTACATAGTGAGGCATTTCGACGCGATGCTCACAGCGATGCAACCTACGCGCACTTACTCGCCGTTTTAAAACAGTGCTTAAAACGTGCGCGTAGGATGCATCGCGGCGAGCATCGCATTGAGATGCCTCACTATGTTTGTACCCTAATGACTTTCCTACGTCTTTTTCTATTCCTGAATAATTAGTAAAATCACAAATCATTTGGAGAGGTAATAGATACACTTACTTATGTCACAAAGTCTTAAGTCAGCTCTAACTTTACTTAAGTCTTAAATCAGCTCTCAAAAAATAAGTTTTAACTAAAAAAAGTTTTCTGTGAGCTTGCAGCTTACAATAAAAATGTGAGTATTATTGGGTAATTAATTTTAGTTATATCAACAGTAAAAATTGTGTAATTTATTTATCGCGACTAAACAAAAATGATTTAAAGTTGAGGGTGGCGGCAAAACTAAATCTCTCAACAATAGATACTTATTGCCATGCTACTAAAAGTTATCAATAAAACAGATACCTCCATTCAACAGCTTAAATAATAATATTATCTTTAGATATAGTTATTTTTGTTGTTTTTAATATCGAACAGGTGAAAGGGCCGATTCAAGAGCCTATCTCCACATCATTGGTTGCCGTCAACGAAAAAAAATAATGATTGATCTGGGCGGGTTCTAGTCAAAAGAGAGATATGTGCGATATCTTTATCAGTAGGACAAATTATCTCGTCTATCGGACTGAATATGTTTGCTGAAAAGAGACGAAACGTTTGGTAGCGATAAAAACGTGAAATAAACATGGACGGATCGTTTATACACTCACGCCTTATCTGATGAATTTGATGTGTACTGAAAAAAAAACGAAATTTAACTTATAACCTAACTTATTATAATTTCACGTCTGCAATTTAGTGTTCTCTTTACAGAAATTAATTTAATTTAATATGGAGAATTTGCACATTTTTTTAAATTATTACCAGAGGTTAGATTATGAAGTAGTGATGCCAATGATGTTTGAAAAAAAATAACATACCGTCTCTAGAAATGCAGTAATTATTTATTTAAGCCTGGCTCCGCCCACCGTAATGTGGATCACAGCTCGAAACTGATGTGACGTCACATAGCGGACGGCGACAACGCATACGAATAACCGAGCGCTTACACAGTATTGTGTTCTGTCAATCTGTACTGTGTTCTGTCAATTTCTGTGGAATGCTAAAGATTCTCCTCTTAACAGTTTTTATTGAGGCGCGAATTTTACAATCATTTGGGGTATTGTTGGCTGTGAACATTGGATTATGTAAACATTTTATTAATTAGTATAATTTAATAAAGTTCCTTTAGTTACATATATTTCTTTTATTTTTAAATTATTGTGGATGTATGTGGTATCGGATCACCCTGTATACAGGGTGATCCGAACTGTATTCCGGAAACTTCGGCAGCATATTCTGCAGATAAAAATAAGTAAAAAAGTTTGTATAAATTTATGTCCTAAAATGCTTACTTTCGGAGATACAGGGTGTAGAAGTTTCATTTTTATTTCGATTTTTTCCAAATAATTTCTACAGTAACGTCAATATTTGAATGAAAATTGGTATCTGGGAGTTCTTTCACATGAGAAATTTGATTTTTATGTCAATATGACTCCTACTAGTAAAGGGCGCCACCTATATATTTTTTAACTGGTTTGAACAGTAATAACTTTTCGTCCGTACCTGTATAAAACTACTGAGTAAAAAAATATACATTTACGACGTCTTTTACGTAAAAAATATCTCTTGGAAAAAATTGCTACGAGTATTGGTTTTCGAGATATTTGGATTCGAAATTATCAATACATGTCTCATTGATTTAAATTAAACATGTTGACTAAATTGTTACTACACTGAGATCATAGATTTGAAAGTTTTTGTGCCAAAAGTTCAACAGAAACTGTTTTATCATCATTTTTTGCAGAAAAATTAAAAAAAAATAAAAATTTCCCAAATTTATTATTTTAGTGAAATAAGTATCTACTCAAACGTTTATTTTTCGTCAATAATGACATGTATTGACTATTTCCATTCTAAATATAACGGTTGCTCGTAGCGATTTTTACAAAGAGATATTTTTTACGTAGAAAGTCACAGAGATGTTTATTTTTTCCTTCAGTAGTTTTATACGGGTACGGACAAAAAGTTATTACGCTTCAAAACAGTTAAAACACATGTAGGTGGCGCCCTCTACCAGTAGGAGTCATGTTGACATCAAAATCAAATTTCTCATATCAAAAAACTCCTAGACATCAATTTTCATCCAAATATTGACGTTACTTCAGAAATTATTTGGAAAAAATCGAAATAAAAATGAAACTTCTACACCCTGTATCTCTGAAACTACGCATTTTAGGACATACATTTATACGAACTTCTTTACTTATTTTTATCTGCAGAATATGCTACCGAAGTTTCCGGAATACAGTTCGGACCACCCTGTATATATCTTTAAAACAAAACCTTTAATAATTGTAGTATCTATAATTTTCTATATAATATTTTTTTAATAAATAAATGAAAATTCCCATACGCATCGCATATTTTCGAATGTTTTAAAATTTATATTCCTTACATCACATTTGTGAGATAATACTAATGTTTAAAACGATCAGCTCTAAATAATTTATCTGTGGCAAAATCTGAAGACATTAGACGAAAATGATGTAAAGCAAATAAGAAAGATGTATTCTTATCGCTACAATGTGCGCAAGCTATAAACCGACAAGACTCTTAAGGGGCGTCCAGACCGGATGAGCAGCAGGAGCGAGCAAGAATTCGGGTATGTTCTATGGGAACGCTTTACTGGTGTGGACGGCTCTGCGAGCAAGCGAATGATTGCTTGCTCGCGCTCGACGCTGTTCCACGCCGTGTCGGTACATCAAAGAAAATTCGCGCTGTTGCACGTTTGGTTTGGACGGGATTTTGTTTACCACGTTTGCGATCGAATATCAAAAATGGAATGGCCGAATGAAGTTGTTTTAGAACTAATAGATGAGTACAAAAATAGCCAAAACCCGTAAGGTTATAGCTAGCCTTTCTCTAGGTGAAATTGCTTTTCGGTAATTGGTATCACTTTTCATTATTTTTATGTCAATTAAATCTAATATGGTATTAAAATCTGTAAGTGACATGCGACAAAAGTTCTTAAATTTTCCAGAATCTTCTGTTTCAACATCGTTTAGTAAATTGTACCACCATGAAAAACTCGATTTTTAAAAAGAGTTATGTTCCACCATCTCCTCTGCAGTCGTTTTCTCTTTTGACGCTTCAAAAATTTATAAAATACAATGAAAGACGCACAAGCAATATTTTTTTTCCGACATTGTGAACATGAAGTGCCACACACCGATCAACGCCGAACATACAAATAATCGCTAGGTCTGGACGGAAGCTGATCATGTGCTCGACAGCAGCAGAAATCATGAGCGAATTTGAATAAATGTTTCCTCGCGCTCGTTACTGCTCGCTCATCTGGTCTGGACGCCCCTTTAGACTTTCAATTCATCGTTTTGCTTCTTAGCCACCCGTCTTGAATTTTATTTTCAACTGAAAATGTTAAATGAGACATATCATCAAAAAGTCGGAATTTTGTCCGATATAGTTCAACATAATAGAGTCAGTTCTTGGCAAATTGTCACTCTGAGCTTGTAGAATCCCTAGTTTCATATTGTTCTAACCTTTTAACTTAAAATACAATACAAATTCACTCATTAGCCGCCTAACTGCATCTAAACGGCAAAGGGCCGTCCGCGAGCTGACGTCACAACTTGCCCCGGTTTTGGTCACGTGGTTATGTGAGCGCGTTCGCACGATTAAAACAGTCAATTATATTTGCCGGGTTTTATAAAACAGTATAAAACCTCGTGGGTGCTCATCAGATATAAGTAAAAATGTAATAAATTTCCAGATTGTTACATTTGTTGTATTTAACACTTTTTTACATAATATATGTAATATCACAGATAACACATAATCCAGATGGCCATTGCTTACGGAACAGCATGTTTTCGATGAGACAGTTCCCTATTAATGACACAGAGGGCGCCTATAGCCAAATCTAATAATATTTTTAAAACGAACGAATTTGGAGCCAGACCACGGCCACGCGATGTGAAGCGACGTAGCCAGTTGTTCACATTTATAAGCAAATTCCCGGTCAAACCCAGGGAAAATGTATATTCGGACTTTAATACTAGACAATTGGATATGAAAATACTAGTCGAAGTGGATGTTTGAAAGTCAGAATTTCTAGATGCATATATATGCTATTTATAGCCATGAAATTTATAATTTAGATTTTATTTTTATTATTTGTCTCTTAATATTCATTAGCTGAAAATAAGGGTAAAGGTTATCTATATAGTAATAAATAAAATTTGGCACATAGGTTCCTTAAGTGATGTGTGGCAGGATATTCGGGATTGGACAGCTTAAGGTTTTGATCGACAAATGTATCCATCAAAACTAAAAATTCTTGAAAATAAATAAACCAAACATACTTCAGGTTTTTTGTTACCGATTCTGAACATTATCTGGCAGCTTTCTAGGACGGAGCTTTAGGACGGTTCAGAATCTTATGTTAAGCTTATGTTCGTGGGTGCTCCACACCCACTGTTTTCTTCTCGTGGGTGCTAGAGCACCCACGGTCGGCACCTAAGGTCGGCGCCCCTGCTAGTACATTTTTAGAAATTTTGAAAATATACTTTTGCTGATAACTTTCAAAGAAAAAATATTCAATAGAAATACCTAGACGATATTTCAAGTAATTTAAAGATGTATGCAAATTGTCCAATGTATGTAAATTTCTAACTTTGTAGTGTATTATTTATTGATTTATTGCATTATGAAAAGAGATTTTTTTGTTTATTATTTGAAATGTTGATTAATTAATTGTTTTCTGTTACCTTTTCGATCACGTGTCCTACTCCTGACAGTGGCAGGGAAAGGCAGTTGGGGGTGATCCATATTCGTCGAACTGGAGGGTGTCATGGAACCAGTGGAGTGCGCATCTCTAAAGTCACCGGTCTCGGCCCACACTGCGGACAAAATAAAAAGTTGCTTTTTCTCTTTACTGTAAACCAATCTAACAGTAAAAAATCATTGAGCCTTCTTCACTTAAATCTATAGCGGGTGGTGCACCGTCGCGTCGTTGGAAACAGAAAATCCCTTGCAAATTTTGGACTGTCCAAATATTGGCTTCCCTATAGTGATTATTGGCTTCCCTATTCATCCCTATTAGCTAAGTCATACATATGTTTTTTAAAGGACTGTGTTTGCTAAATATACATGCCAAATTTGAGCAACTTTGGACAAACCGATTTTAACTAATTTAAGAAAAACTGCAACTATTTTTAAATTAAAACTGAAGAGGTAACAAGGTAAAACAAGGCAAATGTAAGATACCTTAATTTGTCAACCTATGATTTTATCATTGTCAAATGTAATTTATTGTGCTGTCTACGTTAATCGGCTTGTGTATTCATTATTCAGCATACTAAGTTGTACTAGTTCTAGTATTCAGCCTACTAAGTTAGTTTTAGTTGTGTTCAGCATACTCAGAAAACCTATTTACGACTTCGCTGTCAAAATCAACAGAAGAGCCAATATTTCGGGAGTTCACAAATTGCATGGGATTTCCTATATTTCCAGCGGCGATGCACCACCCGGTATACTAGTGTTATATCCACAATATCCACATCTACACATACGTATAAATTTAACTGTATTTCATAAATGCAGTTAAAGCACTTTAAATCGGCCTTTAAATATAGAACTCAAACAAAATAATAATATAATATAAAACAATCCAAAATGTAATGACGACAATAAGGTAATAATAAACACAAAACTATATTATCTGTAGCATTAACAAAGCGCTAAAGCAATATCAAAAGTCTATAATAAAATGAATTAACATGAGTAGATTAAAATGAAAATATCATCAAAAATACTTAATCAAAATATTCTTTATTTATTCAAGAAATGGATAATTATTTTCTGGGATTGAAATTAAACCTGAAACTAATTTAACATAAAATGAGTCACCGCTGTTCCGCGTAATATAAATATTTTCTATCTATTATAACTCGATTACAATTTCGGAAGTTGAGTCGCAGTTAAATCTATGGATAAAATGGATTTGCAGTTAACCGGGAGATTATTTCAGCATTACCTTAAATGCTGTTTATAAAAGCATTAACGTATTAGTTTTATAAACAATCGGCTGAACGAGATTTGTTTAGCTTTTCATCGGCTTTTATTACAATGTAAAAATTTATTTACTGAAGTAATACATATAATTTTCTTATTTACAGTAAAATTGTCATTAACTCAAATACTTTACTTTTTGCTTTAACAGCTTTTCATTCCAAAAATTAGTCTTAGGTTTTTCAATCTGCATTTTTGATTTTTAATCTCATTGTAAATACTAACCTTTACTAATATTAGTAATTTATATGAAAATACTAACTAAAATATTATTATTAATTTTTTGTGAGCGCGTTTCGAAATTGACAGTTTTTGATATTTATTTGAGATTCGAAATGACATTCTTTTAGGCACTAGCATCTAAAAGTGACACTGATTTAGGCACTAGTGCCTAAAAGTAAAAATTGAAACGTTAATTATTAAAGTGAATACAAGAGGCATCCAACTTTTCGTCTCTAAGAGAAATACAAGTTGTAGGAGTCGGAATAAGTAAATTTCTTGTACTAGCAATGCTGCTGGCTTCTGCTTCTACGTGAACTGCTTTTAATTTCTTATTTGGCGTATCTTTCTGTCCCATAATTCTTTTTGCTATTCCGGTTTTCCTGTTCAATTGAATTTTTAATGTAACCTTCAGCAACCGAGCTTGATCGCCAACCTCCATATCGCTTTAAAACTGTTATGTCCGCTCCTGAATCTGCCAGCATTATTGCAGAGCTGCCCCGGTAACAATGACCAGTGTATTCAATGGCGTTGGAGAGTCCAAGAATCTCCGCTATCTTTTTTGGCATACCTCCAATTGTATTGATTCCAACTGGCAGGGTACACATTGATTTTTTCGATACGTCAAGAAAAATGGCTGATGTGTCACATTGATTAGTCCAAGTTTTGCGTACTGACGAAATACATGTAAGAAATTGATATTATCTATTGGTCCCTCAGTAATCGTAAACACTCTTGGAAAATGAGTTTTTTATTCGGAATCTTCACACTAATAAATGACTGAAATGACAATCTTTAATGGCATCTACGATCAAAAACGTGATTTCTTTCCTCCTACATGCTCCAAATACTCCAACGATTAAGGCAACTTTAGATAACAGGAATTCTTTGTCATCGGCTTCTTTCATAAAGCGTTCAATTTCCAGTTTTATAAATACTTTTGATTTCTTTGTCTGATATCCGGAAGATTTTCTTTTTAAAAATACAATAAGGTTTGTGAATTTGCTAATATCTACGTTTCGGTTCAGCTAAATCATTGTGCGGAGCATCGAATATTTACTCCACAAAATTGACGGCTTTAAGGTGGTGGATAACTTCAGGAAATAGGCTAGCAATACCTTTTCTGTGAAATTTTCAACATGTTTTTCTTTGACCCAGGTTTTAAAGTTGTTGTAGGTGGTCTCGTATAAGTTTTTCGACTTTTCGGGCACTAACGTGGATAGCGCAGTTTCAGCAGCTTGTTGAATATCCAAAGACTCGTCATTATCACTCATTTTTTCACAAAATTTTGTAGGAAATACGGCGACGTTTGAACCAGAACTTTGTCATTAAACCATGCATAAACAATGCCTTAGAAACCGATTACCAAAACATTTTAAAAAATGTTTAAAAATAAATAATAATAATAGCATGAAAATCTCAAATTATCCGCTTTCACAAAAAATCTTGTATGAAATTCGTTGCGAAAGAATTGTTTTAAGCACTCGACGCATTGTCCAACTCGGCTTTATTTAATTTTGTGTCTCGTGCTTAAAACACATTCATTTCGCAACTTGTTACATAAATAGCTACTTCATTATACGTTATTATAGTATCATTTTTTTTATTCAAAAATATTTAATCAAAAATTCATAAAATCCAGTGGCGTCCAACTTGTTAAAATAATTATATAACATGTTTATACATTAAAAAGGGTATTTTGATGCATAGAAGATGTGTATCAAATTTGATAAATATATATGTAATAACATAAGACTTATTGTGGAAAAAAGATTTTTTGGTAAATTTTGAAGTGAAACTTCTTTACGCGCGATGGGTGTAAAAATTGAAGGCCGTGACACAGGAGACGCAAGAGGGAAAGTGGTAACGTTGACTTTTTGATCTTAGAGCGTCGTAACTACCTATGTGAGCTAGGGGGCTAAAACTCGGAATGTAGATGGGGATCGAAGAGCCCCATCTCTTCATGATATTTTGGCAACGTTTCGTGCACTACGAAACCCCATCAATGAATCAAATCAAAAAACACTTCCGATTTAAGTGAAATTTGGCATGTCGATATATTGGACCCACAGAACACACTAAAGAAGAACGCTAACTCCCATGCATTTTTTAGTTTCAAAACGGTTTCAAATTTGTAAAGAAATCTGTAATCTGTAGGTATATTGAAGTGGCGCCTTCTAGCCGCCCAGGAAAGTAACAAAGGTGGCGGCAAATTTAAATAGATGCCATTTATTTTTAAGCAAAACGTATTGACTTGTTCGCCGGTTAGAGCCAATCAGATTTCTACAAAATAATGTGCAGTCATCTGATTGGTCCCAAGTTGGCAAACAAGTCAAATGGTAAAAAACAAAGATTTATTTTTAGGATTATAACTAATTTTTAGGATTTACAACCAAACCAAAAACAATTTTGTACGCAATTTTTAAGCAACTATAAAAATTAAAATAAAAATACGCCATCTAGTGCCCCAGGAAATTACTACCCCAAAAACAGATCGTTCAAGGTCATATATCTCAGTTGACTGGCCCTGATTGGACCAATGCCAACTTTACCGTGTACGGCACGTGTCACTGTGACAGTTAGTTTTGACGTAAGAAACATCAAAAGTTGATAGACGGCAAATAGGAACACCCTGTATACAATGATATGAGAACAATACATATTAGTGCAAATAGAAGAAGAATGCTGTTATTTCACAGGAACAGGTTGACTACCCTGTATATATGACATGAAGAAGAAAAAATAGGAAAGAAGGTCAAATTTGTCTATTTAAACCAGAGCTATGGCCATTGAAACTTTTATATATTTACCTTAAAGTCACGTACCGTCGGTTTATTTTGGGCCTCTCAAAATACAGGAGCTGTTTTTTAAAAATATGTTAATGTCACTTGAAAAGCAAGATAAATATCTTTATGTTTTTCAAGTGAAAGAATAATATATGACCCGCTTTTAAATTATGTCAATATATTTTAAAAACAACTTTATTAGAGACGATCAAAATATTGAAATATGTTCGTTGGTATTTTACAAATTTAAAGCAATTTATTTTTTTTACATTGGATATTTTCAGAAGGCAATTTATTTAATACGTGTATTAGTTCTCAAATTATATACCTTTTCCATTATCCTATCGTCCATGAAATCAATGAAAACTGCCAAAATTTTAATTCAAGATAATTTAAAAAAATTGCGAAAAGTTACATACATATATACGAATATGGTAAGCGATTGTGAAATTATATGAAATGTAAATAAATGAAACGAAGTCAGGTTTGTAATTTTACTATAGTAAATATGTTTTTATTTATTGTTACTATACATACATAGTAATTGTACATGAAGTTGACGATTTTAAAAGATAAATTTACAATGAATAAGTAAATTTACCATGAGAGTAATATAATTACTGCTGATTCTACATTTCGTGTTGCTTTAAAGGTGCGTTCACACCGGCTGCGCCGCTCCGCGTCGCGCCGCGCCAAATATTTTTTTTAACATATACTTTTGTGCGCGCTAAAAAAATACATTTCAAAAGTACATGTTGAAAAAAAGTCCTGCGCGGCGCAGCCGGTGTGAACGCACCTTAAGACATGTTATAAAATATTGCACA